AATAAACTTATATATATATTTATATAGAAAAGAACAAGAAAAATTTAATGTTTACGTCCTGATACTTGACATCTCTTCTCTGCTATTATCTTTCCTATTTCGGGAGAAATTTTGTTTGTAGTGATAACTTTCAACGCTGACCCAAGGTGAGCATCATTAATACGGTTTCTAATAGGAGACTTATTACCTTTCATGACTGAAAATAACTGCTCGCACCGATAAGTGCTACCAAACATGGAAATAATTTCATATGCGAATTTTCGAGTATTTTCAAACCTTGCTGGTAAATATTTGTAAAATTCAGGCACGCCCACTTCAATGAATTTTGCTTTCAAATTTGAGTTGCATTGAATCTCGATCACCTCCATTTGCATATGGCTGGGTAATGAGTCAATTCAATACTTATTGAGAAAATCGAAGAATTAATAGTATTATTAATAGTACATTAATAGTATTATTACATATCAAGCAGATTATTTTATCTTTTATTTCACAGCAAAAATATTCTAATTCCCATTTTACTTGGAATATTCTATGTTCGTCAGCGATTTTTCGTTTAATTTTACTACCACTTGGTTTTGATATAGACATACTGAATACAAAGTGCTGGAATAAACACGGTTAACGTTAAAAAGCTAACAAAAATTTATTCTTTCCAAAAGAGATAAATCAAAATGCTGAAATATTTCCTCAAAAATATTCTAACAATATCACAAAACGTCAAACGTTTGGCAAAAATCAATTCAAAACAGAGAAACTAATTCTATCTCACAGCGAAATCGCTACAAATCAATCACAGCATTAAGTAAACAAACAGTTCGCTAGAACTACAGCTACTACTGAGATGAGTTGTTTGTTCTCGGCTTTTATAAGCTTTATAATTAATTTCTCGAATATACCGGAACATCTATAAATATCTGGATTTTAACTATGAAATACGTAACAATATGAATTAAGTAATAATTAATAATAAAGCAATATATCGTACAAAACTATGATTGGAAAACTGAGACCATGAGTTCGGCCACATTCGGCTATCGGGGGATGTGTACAAGTTCTGAGTGCACGTGTCCCCCAAAAGCCGAAGGTAGTTGAACGCAAGCTACTCACACGCATTTGTAATTTAAGTAGTGTGTGTGTCAGCTCGCTGTGAGTAATCTAACAACGCTGAATAAATTATCGTTAATTACTTAGCAGTAAACATTTCATTTTTCATTTTTTCTTCGTCGATATGTTATTTTATTATTATATATTATTATTTGCCGATATATTCGAAGGGTATTTGTTGCAAAAATATTTTTTTGCAAAAAAATTTCCCGGGCCGCAAAAATATTTGTTGTGGGCCAGCCGCATGCGGCCCGCCAGTTTGACATCCTTGTTGTAAAGGAAATGTAAAGACAAATTTTCAGAACGAAGTACTGAAGAAAACTGAACATTCCTGCGTGGCCAACATTACTGAGATGGAAGTTAAAAGGAAATTAGTGACTTGCATAAAAAGAGTCCGAGAAGAAACGTCAGTTCCCGTTCCCAAGATATTTCAAGAACTTTCAGAATTATATCAGAAAGCTTATGATTTCGTTCACTAAAATACCGACATACTACAGTGCCAAGAGTAATTCCAGTGCCTTGTAATTCGATAATCGAATGCGAAAACAGAAAACTTTAAAAACTTCGGTAAAAAAAAAAGTTATCCCACTTGAAAGAGATTTGCCACTTAAAATACTGTTTAAATTATATTTAAGATTTTTAAAAATATTTATTTACTTATTTATTTGCACCCTTTATCTGTTCTTGGGGAAAAAAATGTGTCCGCTCTAACCACGATGAGTTTCGTAGTGTCCGCTCTGACCACGAAATCGTTTGTGTTCGCTCTGACCACGTCCGCTGCAGCCACACCACCGAATATCTGTACCTTTTGAAAATCGATCTAACTTACGACACGCTGCTAGGGATAGTAATCTTCCAAATGTTGTTTGCTGTACGGACTGAAAGTTGCTGAACCGTTCTCATCAAATAAGAGATATAAAGAGAATATATGTATCCTATACTGATTGTTGCTTATCTGACTGCAAGCCAAGTGGATTTTACCGGATCATCTTTTACAAAAGCGCCGATGGCACTTTGGTATAAAATGTAGTGAGGCACAAATTTACTGACTTAAAAAGACACAAATCATTAGCAAAAGTCAGTACAAATTGGAAAAAACTGATAAATCATTCAGAATTTTCTGAGATCAAAAGTTAGGGAAAGCTTGTCTGATGGATATGGGGGGGAAAGGCCATGTGACGCGTCCTGTGAGCTGAAGTAGCCATTTGTGAGAAGCTTTGAACTGAAGTGGCGATTTCTGAGGAAGATAATGCATAATAAGAATGGGATGAAATAAACTGACTCATATATGATGCCGAAGCTACTGTAATGATCTTGAAATTTCGTTAAATTCATGAAAAATGTTTGGATAAGAGATCTTAGTGTAAATTCATGAGGATTTTAAAAATTGGTCTTCGTTTCTGAAGAAATTGCGTTAATGGCAGTGTCGTATTTTCCAAGCTCTTGGCATTTTAATATTGAGTCATGTAAGTTTTCACTGAGTTAATGGTACTTTTGAACGTTTCATTGAATAATTTATAATCACTGTAGGATTTTGGAAGTATTAGCCGAGGCATTATTCTTAGTCTTGGCTGGCGAAATGCCATTTAATGCTAAGAAAACTCCGTCATAGATGGGGAACTTGATTTATCAGTTTCTTAGTCCGTATATTTTTAATATTCTTCTTTTATTTTTGTTTATTCGAGCATAATTTGTTGTTGGACAAACGTTTTCCAGAGCAGGGAGTACGTTGTGCCTTTGCTGGAGCAGCGCATGGTTCAGTGATTTCTGCGCACACAAGGCAACCGGGGTTATTGTGATTTCTTGATTGCATGTCATTGTCTTGTTGAAAATTTCTTACGAAGAAGCTTAACCAGAAATACCGATATATTTTTGATTTATCCAACGTGCATGCACGTCAACTGCTTGACTGGTAAGTCAAGTTCTTTGAGTTCATTAGCAATTTTATTGGAATCCATGTAAGTAGTAATTTCTTTAATTACTGCTTTCATACATGTCTCATCGTTAAGTTTTCGTAAGGGTGGAACGGCCTTTTCTCATTTTGAAATTTTGATGTTACTTTGCGGAAATCTTCGCAGAGTAAACTTCGATTAACAGCAAATCTATTTTCCCTTTGCCTTTAGTTTTGTTGATTCCAAGAACCAAGAATTTGTTTTATAAATTTGACCAGTTTGGGGTTGCTTCAGGTATAAGAGTTCGCAGAATTTTATCTTTTTGATTTATTGATGCTAGTGGCACCAGCTTTAACATTATCGGATAGTTGAAGTGGAGGTTTCAGCGTTGTTGTGTGGATTCTGATCCATGCTTAGCAAGGGATGTGTACTTATTTGAATATTCAGTTGAGTTAGATCCCGAATTGTTTTGTGAATATTTAAGCGTTTAATTTAGGGAATTCTTATTTATCGCCATCCTTGAGAGCCGTTATTGCTAAGAGGAAAATGGTAGTCTGGATATTGTTTATCTGCTATAGCGCGAGACTCGTCTTTGGAGGAAAATTTGGTTAACAGCTACGTACGTGTTTCACTTCGTATTTAGATTACTTGTAGTCATACCATTTAATTTTTCCCTGTCACATAAAACGGGTTGCTAGTTTTGAGTATTTGAAACAATTTTTTATCTGCTTTCACGAAATCGTTCATCTGTCTTGATAATATAATCAAGTGTAGGAACTACTACCATGTTGAAATCTAATACAATGAAAATAACAAGAAAGCCGCCCAGCCGGTACATTCGTTAGTGACCCTGACTGCCGTAGCGATGGGCCCGGGTCTGAATCCTGGAGAAGTCATGGTTGTCCCTAAGGACGGTGGCCACCTATTAAGGACTTCCATAATGAAATGACCACCATTTCCATTGAGAAAAGGGGCCAGCCATTAAAAAAAAGGGGTAGAAGTAGAATGAAATATTTATGGCGAAATGTATCCGCATCCAGTATAATACAGCATTCAAATAATCGTTTTCACTTCATATGTGATTTTAAAAAGAATTTCTTCTTTTATTGTTTATGCACCATGACGTCATCTTTGATATCATGGTCCCCAAACTTGAATATATATCTGCTTTCTGCTAAAAGTTACAATTATAAAAAATCGCTGTGGCCGTTTTCGTGAGGTAGCAGCTTCTAAAAGATAATTCTTTACGTTTGGCACCTTAGTGTCAGTTTCCGTACAAGTATGCAGTATTTTTTAAAACGCTGTTGATGCTTGACAAAAGAGTTTTTTAATTTAAAAATAATAAATCTTTTCATTTTTAAGTCCAAAGGGATTTGAATCCCGAAGGACTATTAGTTTCGTTTTGGCATTTTGCGTCGGACTCATAAATGTCGGTTCACTTTTCAAACTGTTGCCACAAAATGTTAGAGTCCTGCATTATATTTGAAGAAATTAAATAATGAAAAATCTGCGTAAATGTATGTATATTTCTCACATTGTCATAAAAATAACGGTACATAGAGTCATCGAATTTTGAATAACGTAATCCCCAACGAATATGAGCATGTGGAAGACCAAATTTGAAATTTGAAATTTGTTTTATGATCGATTTCCTATTTTTTAAAACTTTGACGAATTTTTGATTAACAAACTCAAGGATTTCAAAGCGAGCAATGGCAACGTTGTGCAGAAAAAACATTTTTATCTCCAGCGCGTGAGTCTCTGTATCGGAAATTCTAAAGATATGCTCGTTTTAAAACTATTTTGCGATATTGCTTTTGCACTGGATCTTATGGTTTAAGTGCGAGGAACATGATATTTAATAAAGAAAGGTAACACACAAAATGTTAAAAAACGCCCCTTTGGACGTAATTTAAAATCTGAAACATTTCAGAATTTTTTTTTTAATTTGCGTGATTTATATTTAGTTTAATTTACTGCATTTTTTATTTTTATTTTCAGCAATGGTAGCTGCATCTCGCAATTACACTGAAGCCCTCGCAAAAATGGCCTCTCTCGCCAGCAACAGTACACTCAGTGGTTCTAGGGATATAGGTAAGTCTTACGTCTTTTGTTGATGTGTTTATTTCTGTGATTAAAAGTCTAAGCGAGTAAAATTTTACTTTCGTAAACTGATAATCGCGAATGCTAGCAAGTTTTCTTAGAATGTTCTCAACTTCCAAAAGGTACAGACTCGTCTTAGATAGGCATCACGTCTTTGCTTTAATCGATTAAGCAAACTGTTTACTAATGTACTAACAAAATGAAATTATAGGAAAAGGAAAACGTATTTGCTTCTTCTATGTAGCATTGTTTGCTTATAATCTACGCTATGGATTCGTGTCATATATAATGCGTAAGCCTTATCTGTCATTTTCTGTTTTTCATAAGAGTTCCTAGAATGTTAATAAGCTTAAAAGGGTGCGTCAGTTGCTTCGAGATTCTGAGCGCACATAGCATTCAAACAAAAGTCGGGAATATTTATACTTATAGCGTAGGAATATTTCAGTGTTGATAAAGCGTAAATTTTCAAGATTAATTCATTGTTAAATACATCGATTAAAATTAAGAATTAATTTTTAGTACTAAAATAATTTGCCTACCCCCCCCTCTCCTGTTTTTTTTTTTTTTTTTTTTTTTTTTTTTTTTTTTTTTTTTTTTTTTTTTTTTTTTTAAGAGAAAGAGAGAAGTATTACATTTATTAGAAAATAAATATGCTTGGAAATCTGCGTAGACGTATAGATCTATATTTGGCAAATATATAGAAATATATTTGGCCAAATGCGAGCTCAAATTTTATTTGTTACCGAAAATTATTATTTAGTAGTCCAAAGGGGCAATTTGACCAGAAGGACTATTAATTTCGTTTTGGCATTTTGCGTCGATTAACTACAAGCGTTGTTTCACTTTTCAAATTGTTGCCACCAAATATTATCTCCCTGTATTATATTTAAAGAAATTAAATTATGAAGAATCTGCAAAAATGTGTGTATGTTTCTCGCATTGTGATAAAACAACGGTACCTAGAGCCATCAAAGTGTGACTAGCGTAATCCTCCTGCGAATATGGGAGTCTGGAAGCCCAAATTTGAAATTTGGAATTTGTTTTATTATCGATATCATATTTTGTAAAATTTTAATGAATTTTTTTATTAACAAATTCAAGGGTTTCGAAGCGGGCAATAGCAATGTTGTTCAGGAAAAACATTTTTATCTCTAACGCGCGAGATTGTGTATCGGTAATACTAAAGATATGCTCATTGTAAAATTATTTTGCGATTTTGCTCTTGAACTGAATTTTACGGTTTAAGTGTGAAGAACATGAGATTTAATAAATAAAAGTAACACAAAAATACTAAACAAACACCCCCTTTGGACGTAATTCAAATATGAAACCCTTCAGATTTTATTTTTATTTATTTATTTATTATTTATTCGGTACACAATTTTGCTGAATTTCTGCTAGTAGATGGAAAAAGAAAACGATTCAATGGTGAAACGTAGTCTACTGTAGATATTTCCAATTATTTTTCTTTTAGTCATTTTTTAACCCCTAGTATGGGGTGTAACAAAAAAAGACTGGTGGCTTGTACACAAAGCGAATCTACTGACGGAAAATTTGAATTTACCTAAGTCTCTTGAACCTTGAAATGAAAGTGCAGAGGGCAGAAAATTGTTTGGAGAGGGTTGGGTTTTTTCCAGGGGGGGGTAATATTTGATTATGCGTATAGTAAGAAAAAGTGTTATAAGAACACATCATGTAATTCAGTTTTCATAAGTATAAATTATTCAAGCTTTGCTATTTTTCGTAAGTATAGGGCAGTGACTTTCTGCTTATATGAGTTTGGTCTTTTCAAGTTTTTCTCTGTGGATTCGCTCGTATCTAAATTGGCAGTCTTGACTATTTCACGAAAATATTTTTTATGAACTTCTGAAGATGTGAAAACTTAGACAAGGTGGGGAAGGAAGGGAAAAGGCGGCTTCTGAGTGTCTTTTAATATTTTTGTACTTTGCTTTCCTTATAAATGTGATCGTAAAATGCTCTATACGAGATAAATAAATAGGGTCAATCAACCTAAATCTGAGACACGTTTTTTAAAAAAACAGTGAGGTAGATTTCTAGCAGTAAAAACAATAAACAAATTTCATAAAAATTAGCGATGGACACCGAAATGTCGCGAATTCCAAAGAATATTCGATTTGAAAATTCGAATCGAAAGATGTTTTCTGAGTGTCTTAATATTTTTGTACATTGCTTTCCTAATTAATGTGGTTGTAAAATGCTCTATACAAGATAAATAAATAAGAGTCAATCAACCTAAAACCGAGACACTTTTTTAAAACAACAATGAGGTAGATTTCTAACAGGAAAAACAATAAACAAATTTCGGTGCTTACCAGGGATAAGTAGTCCTGGGTGCTTACGGAAAATCCCGTCGACCACAACAGACGGCGCAAAAAAAAAAAAAAAAAAAAAAAAAAAAATACTAAATACAAGAAAAAACGCGTTCTATTCTTATTTTTCTTTCAAATTTATAATATTTTATCGCACAAGCCTTAACGTTGCAACTCCATTTCTTCTCAGTTTTTAAATAAAGTGCCATTTCGTGGCCATTAATACGTAGCGTATTCGGAAACTAAGTACCGTTTCATTCTAGCGCCGTCGCAGCGCTGTGGTAGGCGTCTCGCGCATGCGCACTAGTCTTTCTTGTTCACTGACTTTCAATTGTCGCCATTTTGGTTGCTCTATGTGCAAGACAATTAGTTCTCCCGCTGACTGTGAGATTCGTGCTGTGATTAAATTTTTGAACGCGAGGAATGTTAAACCGGCCGAAATTTATCGTCAAGTGACAGAAGTTTACGGTGAATACGAGATAAGTGATGGAATGGTGAGAAAGTGGGTAAGAATGTTTAATGCCGGTCGAACAAATGTCCACGCCGAGGCTCGGAGTGGTCGGCCTTGATTGATTTGGTAAGGAAAGTTGATGAAGCAATTCATGAGAACAGACGCTTCACAATGACAACTCTTTCAGAGGCATTTCCACAAATTTCACGTACTGTTTTGTTCGAAATTGTGTCTGGCCGCTTGAATTATCGCAAACTGTGTTCCCGATGGGTTCCAAAAATGCTCACTGATGTTCACAAAACAAAGCGACTTAGTAGTGCCCTGACATTTCTCACGCGGTACAGTGTTGAGGGAGAAAACGTTTTAAACCAAATTGTGACAGGTGATGAAACTTGGGTGTGTCATTTCACACCAGAATCGAAACAACAATCGATGGAGTGGAGACACATTCATTCTCCGAAAAAACAAAAGTTCAAAGTGACAATGTCATCACAAAAATCATGTGCACTGTCTTCTGGGATAGGAAAGGTGTTTTGCTTACTGAATCTCTTCCCAGAGGTGAAACCATTAATGCGGCACGATATTGTGAGACTTTAACAAAACTAAGGCGTGCCATTCAATACAAACGAAGAGGAATGCTCAGTAAAGGAATTGTGTTGCTCCATGACAATGCTCGGCCCCATACTGCTGGTGTCACTTAATCGTTAATTCGACAGTTTCATTGGGAGCAGTTCGATCACCCGCCGTACAGCCCGGACTTGGCGCCGTCCGACTATAACTTGTTCCTGCACATGAAGCGCGAGCTTGGTGGCAAGCGCTTTGGATCTGACGATGACAAGAAAAATGCTGTGGAGTCGTGGTTATCGAAACTGGCGGGAAGTTTCTTTGACGATGGTATACAAAAACTGGTCACCCGCTATGACAAGTGTTTGATCATTTGCGGAAACTATGTTGAAAAATAGTTTAAGACATGTATTTTCATGTAAAAATAAAATTGGATTCGAAAAATTTGTTTTACTATTTTTTTTATTTTTATTTTTATTTTTCAAAATGGTACTTAGTTTCCGAATACGCCTCGTACATTTATTTTAGACCGGTAAGATTCCATAACTTTGAAAATGTTCATGCGCTTCTGTTATAGGCAGTCCCAAATTGTAATTATTTTTTTCCTCCAAAATGTGTGATAGAGGGGGGGAAAAGGAGTCTTTATTCAAGAATAATAACCAACATGTGTAATCAAGGTTACAACCAAACCCAGCGTTTTGAAGAAGACTTTTCCATTTTTTGGCGAAAAATCGCGTACTTTGGCGACTTTTCTTTAATAGGCAAAAATGGTGGACAGGATTTTCCGTAAATACCCAATTTTCATAAAAATTAGCGGTGGAGACACCGAAATGTTGCGATTCGAAAATTCGAATCTTTACCATTATTATTTGAAACTTTCGAATCTTAACCTATAATTCCACTAAGTGTTTTAAATCAAAACTTTGCAAAGAAAAATTTTATTGGCATCCAGGGATGTGGTTGTTGCAATTTCAGTAGTACCTGCATCGTCCTTATCACCTCGGAGAGGAGCCTGAATGCATATTCCTTCAGTTTCCCAGCTAACCAAATCTACTAGAATTTTCAAATAATTCTTACTTTGAGATTTCTTGAAAATTCGCGAAACTTTCTCTCCGATCATCGTAATATTTATGTACTTCAGGTAGCCTACCATTAATAGGTGCCAGGTACTTCAGATGACTTACCAGTATAGGTGACAGGTACTTCTCGCAGTACACGGCATGGTATATAAAAGCACTGCGTAGCGTTGATGTATTTCATGTATTAGCGTTGATGTATTTCATGTATTAAATTTCGTTTATTCTTCATAATAAAATATAAGCGTATTTTGAAAAAAATACATTCTCTCTCTCTCTCTCTCTCTTTTTTTTTTTTTTTTTTTTTTTGGTCAAATGCAGATAGATATCGAGGTTTCATTTAATTTAAACTGTTTGTTATTAGGTTATTCTTTCCCTTATTATTATTTTTATTTGAAGGATTCGAAAGATTGGAGTGTTTTCAGGGATTCAGATTCAAAAAAAATTGTGGGATTCGTCAAACCTTTAATTGAAATCCAGCCATCTGCATTTCATTTAATAAAGAAATGGAATGTATATTACCGCAAAGTGCTTTTAGTACAGATCAAAAGATATTTAAAGTGCTATTAC